AAAAAAAAAATTTTTTTTTTTTTTTTTTTTTTTTTTTTTGTATTGCACCATTGTGTTGCCACTACGTGGAGGACAAATTCAGGCAAAAAACAATACCATGGAGTTGACTTGCCAAATTACTTCTATTTCAAGCATGTGTTAATTGGAAGAAAATGTGTAACAACTGAGCCTGGCAAGTGGTTTGTTCAGGTGATTGTCGAGGTGTCCTTACAGGTGACTATCCCAGTCACTCCCCAGAGAGTTTTCTTCCCTTTGACCTTTTTGTTGGAGGGGACACACCCTCTGCTCAGGACTGGCTGGGCATCGGCCGGTTGTGGTGAGCAATTGTGTTTTGTTAGCATCGCTTGTCTTTCTTGGGGTTTATTTTTCTCTTTTTTTTTTTTTTTTTTTTTTTTTTTCATTTTTAGTTTTTTTTTTTTTTTTAATGAGAGCAGGGCACTTTCTGTAGCTTTAAAGCACTTCCAGTATAGTACTGCACAGGTGTTACCAGGTGCTTCTGGAGACTTTCAGTGGTACTGACTGCCCTGGGGTGGGTGGACTGTTATATTAGAAGCTCTACTTCATCCAAATGGGTCTGTCTGCTCCCTAAAAGCAAATTGGCTGTAGCAGATGATGTTCACTTCAGAGGGCAGTGGCTAGGACTTGGTCCTGATATGTATCCTTAGCTATTAATGATGGACGCTGTGTGAGTTCTGACTTGTGTCTCAAATGGCAACGGCAATTTGAAATGCTACCCTTGTATGAGTAAGGTGGATGGCAGCTTAGTTTGGGGTAAGAATGAAAGGGTCCTGGTAAAAGTTGAACAAGATCTCGACTTATTGCAAGCTGTTCTTAGAGAAGACTCCTCAAAATACTGCATTACATCCCCTTGAAATCTGGCATGAAGGAAGAGTATCAGAGGAGACTGGGAGCAGATAGCAGATAACCGTAATATAGGAAAAAAGTGGTCAGAAACTAATTAGAACTTGGAAAATTCATGCTAAGATGCTTCCATGCAGTCAGGAGAACAAAAACTCAACTGTTAATAAAAGAAGGTGTTGCTAACAGCAATGTCCAAAGTGTGTGTTGTTGCCAATGAAACTACATGTTTACCTGCAGCCCTAGATGTAAAAGCCTGATTTGCTGTCCTTGAACAAAGATACTGGAGGTTCATGGTACCACCTCACCGACACCTTCAGTAGCGCTCCCACGAGACCTGCAGTGGGCAGACATTAGAAGAAACCCACGCAGCGGTACCGTTCACATCAGTAATCACCTCCAAGCTGTAGAGGTGGAATGGTTGGTTGTAGTGTAGACTGGCCTGCACTTGATATGAAGGGCAAGAGAGAAAATAATTGATACATGAATTAAATGTGAGTAAACGCTTTCCCAAAGGACAACAGAAAAATTGGCCAGATCTCCCCCCTCCCTCTTCTGGAAAATTGGAGAGTGGATGTGTGGCCAAAACCAGTGCTGGATTCACACTTTTTTTGGTGGATTGAAAAACGTATTTCTTTTTTAATAGATCTGTCTTCATTCTGTGCCTCTCCTCTGGGATGTTTCAAGAAGAGAGGTTAATAACTGGACTTCTCCAGCAGCGTTTCTGGCCATCAGGTAAGAGCAGTGGTGACTGAGGTCTGCAAAAATGTGCTGCTGTTCAAATCTTGCCTCTTCCCCCTCGCCTTCCCTCCCCCCCCGCCAAGTATTTGCCTTTCTGACAATGAATACTTTATTCATTGGAAAATAATACCGTTTTGCCTTACTTAGGTTGTAGCTAAATATCTAGGAGAGATGATTTTCATGTCAGTATTTCCATGCATGCAGGCTCTGCAAGCTTTAATGCTTATCTTGCTGAAATGTCTTTGGGACAGAGAATCTTCTCCCCATCCCAGTCTGAGCAATGCCTTGCTGTGGCCTCAGCTGTCACTACAGCTTGTGCATAAAAATTAAATTGCTGTCAATAACCGAGACTTCATACTGTTAGCAAAGATTTTCCTATAACTGTCTTTTCATCACGTGGGTGCTAATTGTGTGATCCAGAACAGCAGATTGCTATCTTCCACTCAGGACAGAAGAGTCAATTTTTCTTGTATAGAACTTGCTGGGATCAATGTTATTCTTTTAGCATCTGCTCTGGGGCCCTGGATAATCCAAGTGCTCTTCTGCAGACTGCAGAAGTGATCAGCATCAACTGATTGCTAGCAGAGTTTCTGAGCCCATACAATGGGCTGTCTGTATCTTGACTTTACGTGTAAGGTGCTGGTATTTTCCATGTTTGCTGCTATTTTACTGGTAGCTTTCTGGAATGTCTCTATCTCAAAAAGTTCTGTAGTAAACAGGACCAAAATCCAGCACATCTGAAAATGAATTGTGTCTTCCTTACTGACCTACCTTCTGCCACTACTTATGAAAGTCTCAGGTTAGAGACTTGAACCTAGACAAAGTAGATAATTAATGCTATGTTAGTGGACAATTAGACATGTAACGTGTTCCAGTGTGTGTTGTCCTGTTGTGGCATACAAATATGTTGGGCCGTAGATGCTTCCAAGGGCTCTTGCGTGCGTGTACCAGCCCTGCATCTCTTATGATTGTGAGATGTTGTTATTGCAAATGGCTGTGAACTGCAAACACCAGGCTGAAGCAGAGCAGCAACTTGGGCTTGGATTTTTTTTCCTTTAGGTTCTTGTTTGGTGCTTTTTTGTTTTTGTTTTTGTTTTTTTTCCAGTGCTGCCTGAGGTAGGATAGTATGTTGTGGAAGTACCTTCTGTTTTATGAACAGTGTGAGAGGCTCATCACCTTCTGAAGTCTAGTGCCTCTCTTCCCTAAAGCAGGTGAGGTACATCCTTACCCTGGGCACCCTGTGTAAGTCACGGTGCAGGAGCCCCTAAGCTCTGACTCAAACTGCCCCTTTCCAATTTAGTAGGACATGGAGTGTGACCTGCAAAGCCATTGTTCAGATAAACATTTGCTTGTCAGAAAATCCTCAGGGTACAAGGGGAAGAGGGGAAGTATTATCAAGAAAAGGAATGTAGAAAATACTTATAATTCTTACTCATTTTGAGATTTAATTTCTATAATGGAATCATAAAGCTTGTCCAGTATTGATTTTTTTTTTATATTTTTTAATCATATGAGCTGCTTATTAGCTAGACTACTGTTTCAGCCCTATCATGTTAGAGCAGGTCACTAATGTATTGTAGAAACCAATTTGTGTCTTCACCATCTGTTTGGTGTCTTTTTTTCTCTTGGAAAAAAAAAGATAAGAGCCAGTTGCTGGAGCTTCTCATTGGCTTTCTGTTCCGTGGAGGTTAGACTTAACAGGAAATCTGGCATATGTTGGCTCTTAATTCTGTGCATTAATACAGATTTGAACACAGTTGCTGGCTGATAGGTGGTCCCACTCCAACTGCTGAGGAGGTGATGCGCAGTAATGGAAGCAGAGCTGGAGCATAAGCTTTTGCAAAGTGTTCTGAAAATAAGCTGTTACTTTTGGTTGGTTTTGTTCCCTGGGAATAAGAAGCTTTTGGTAATTGCTTATAAAGTAGGAGAGAACTAGACAGAAAGGCATTGAGAAGGTTGCATTAGAAAGAAACAGGCAGGAAGAACAAGAAGAAAGCTTCCTCAGCCATCTTCAAGGTGAGCGTTCAGTTGAGGGGGAAAGGGTGGGTAAGACTTTGTGCTCTTACTTCAGGGCCTTCGTTGATCGATAAAACAGGAAAAAGCTGCTGGAGTGGAGGCTGTTTGATATTTTGTATATGATGTTCACGTTCAGGGGTCCACCTGGTCTTTAACACTGTCTAGGTTTTATGCTGTAGTTATTACCAGGATTTCTGAGAAGTAGAGCAAAGACTTTCTGCTGAGGTTTTCTTTTGTCAGCTCTCCAGCTCTGGGCTGACCCGTGAGTAGCTCTGTACACCTTGGATGTGCCTGGTCTCGGCAAAGGATTCAGGTAGGGAATAAGGGGACAGATCCAGCTGGTTGCAATCCTCAGATGAATTTCATCTTGTACCACCTTCTACATTTGGGTTTGGCTCGTCCTTCATAACAAAGCTGTGTGTGCTTGGTCCTGCCCTTTGGAGCTGGCACGAGCCTCAAGGTTTCTCTCTCACTGTGTGGGGTGTGAGGTGGTTCTCGTTCGCTTTTTACACCGTGTTTAAAAGAATAACTGCGTGTAATGCTGGAAAGAAGTGTCAGGTATGCTGTACTGTCCTGATCTGCTCACAGAAGTTGTTGATGTTTTATTTGAGTTTGGTTTTTGCTTCCCAAAACACGGCTGATGATCATCATCCCTTCTGATGGGCTCTTCAGGCAGCAAGACCCTCTAGAGTTCTGCATCTCTGGGTTGCTTGAAGATCCTGCTTGTGCGCCTCGTCTCCGCCCGCGTCTCGGAAGAGCCAAAATTTTGCACGTGGGGGAAAAAAAAAAAGCGCATGGGGAAAAAAAACCCCTCTGGTGGTGTCTGCAGC